CAGTTCTCCGCGAGTCCATCACGTGCACCTGAACTCCGTACAATCCTACATTTTTGGTAACTTTGTTCGTAAATTGTAAGTTATAATAAATAATTTGTTTATATTAATAATAATTTAGATCAATCGTTATTTATTTGTAATATTAAGATCCTAATACCATTCGTGCTCCCGAGCTACGGTAAAAATATATTCAAAAGAATTAATTTCTTCCCTGAATATCTTATATTTAACGGGCCATCCCCGACCACGTTACACCTCAATATGGTAAACGGTTATTAATCAGTGATATTCGTGAACCAGATCACATTAAAAATAAAATAATTAAATCCTAATAAACTTGATAAATACCTACAGTACTAAATATCGAAACTATTCTTTATAATTCTACATTTTGGGAATTTAAAATGGTTCATAAACTCAAAGCGTAAGTGAAGTATAAATGTATAATTAATGATTACAATTAAGACTTATACTATAATACTGTAATATAAAATATTTTGAATGTTATTTGTTTTAGATTTTATTTACAATGTTTACTATCGGAAATAGTACAACCACTTTACCCAACTAGAATGCTAAAAAGTGATATACGAGAACGAGAGAAAGCCAAGTAATATAAATAGTAGTGTGGACAGTGTGGTACCTACATTAAGTTCTATAAATAAAAAATAAGAAATACCTAATTTTATTAGTTATTACTTGAATTATGAACTGTATCTAATTATATTTCCATAACCAATTTATTTCCTTTCAAAAAATTCTCTTTTATTGTATTGGTATCGGTATGCATATTAAAGTAAACAAGAGTCTTATTTATTAATTACAAACTAATAAATATAATACTATCGAATACACGCGTAATTCATAATATCTTTGTTATTACTTATTAGTAAATCGTAGGTTTCAAATTATTGTAGGATAGGTAGAAAGGTAGAACCTTATAAATAATAATAGGTGACTGATGTGTGAAAAATGTTTTAGAAATGTTAGAGATACGCAAGAAATGTAATTTAAGAAATATACCTATGTGGTAACAGTATAACATAAAATAATATATATTCAATTAATTAACCTACTAAAATATAATATTTAGATATTTAGGTAATACTAGTTTAGGTTACAGTTATATATTAGATATTATTTACTGTATTGAATACATTTTTTACGAAGTAAGTATTTAATAATGCAATAAATATAAGCCGCGTATAGGTACGCTCGAATATTAAAAATATTACGGCGGTAATGCGGTATAAATGTTATAATATACGTGTATGCATTTTATATTTACATGATCCGCCACAGACCAAGGTTGATAAAATAATAAACATCGCTCCCGAATGAGCAAAATTATCGGCCAGCCGCCGACCGTGAGTAGTGGGCGCGGCTTAAGCGTCGCGTGCTTGCGGATCGCGAAAACACCTGACAGCGCGTTCTCTCGGTCGTTGTATACGTTTCGCTTTCGGTGTGGCGTCCTCTTAATGTTATTATTTCTTTTTCTGATTCGTTTTTTAAGCATCATTATTGAATTATTTTTTAAATCGCCTACAGTTTTTACTATCGCAGATGTCCCTTCTCTGCTTTTAGATTTTTGTTCGTTATTGTATTTTAGTTTACGGCAATCTTTAACAATATGTCCCGGCTTTTTACGGTAATTACATGATATTGAACTATTAGTGCTACTACTTCCGGTGTGTTTCTTTTTAATCATCGGATCATTTTTAGTATTATAGCTACTATTATTCTTAGGTTTTTTACATTCCCTACTAAAATGTCAATTTAAAATTGAAGCACTTAGGTTTCGAAAAAGTAGTTGTATTTTTACTATCGTATTTCGTTTTTAAGTTTTTAAGTTTTCCAAAGCTTTATAATCTTCTAACGCTGCTTTAATCATGTCTTCTAAATTAGTTAATTTCATTGCCCTTAACACAGTCCTAATTTGAAAAAATAACCTGTCGACAAAAATATTTTGAGCTTGTGAAGTCAATACTTCCGTAATAGTCCTACATTGTACGATGGTTTTATCCTTAGTCATTTCGTTTACTAATCTGTATAATGCTAGCTCTACCCTTGCTGCATAGTCCTGAACTTTTTCATTTTTATTTTTAGTTTCAGCAGATACGTTTTTGAGTAGTTGTTTCCAAAATTCGCTCTTAATACTTTAGTTAATTCTTTATAATTCGTTATTGTTTTGCGCTGAGTTATACATAAAGCTTTACCGGACAAATTGCATAACAACGCTTCTAATACGTCATTAACAATCGTCTTCTCAATGTGCTTAAATACAAACTCTCATTTTTTTTTTTCAAATAACTTTAAATCCTGAGATGGTAACCCAGTGAATTCCGGCAACATGCTAATTGCACTATCAAAACTTAATTTACTTATTTTTAAAAGTCCTATTTGTCCCGTTAAAATTTCTAAGTGTGACAAGTAATTATCCCTTTGTTCACCTTGTGTTGCTCTATCAGATAAATTGAAAACCCACTCTAATTCTTTATCTAATAATGACATGAATAAAATATTATATTACCACAAAAATAAAATTGCCTTATATTCTCCTTGAACCTTATTTAGTTGTTGATTGTATTTGATTTAGCGTAGTTATGTTGATTGAATTTGAATTTTCTGTTGATTATTGTTGGATTTTGTTGATTGAAGTCGAATAGAATGTTGATTGAATTTGACTCAAATAGTCAAATGTTGATCGAAGTTGACTGTTACTTGATTTCGTTGAGTTCGGATTTTGACGTTTAATTGTTCTAATTCAAATTGTAGCTTAAAACAATCGACACACCGCTGCCACCAAAATGTTGTAACGTGTCCGTTCTAGCACTGTTATTTGAATTAAAGGTATAATAAAGATAAACAAATTTACGAATACTTAAAGTATTTTTATCAAAATAACCAAACATCTCTAATATCCAACTCCCTAACTTAGTCAATAACTTTCCTATTTATGCTAAGTGGAGCCACCTTGTTATGATGCTCTCCGTACAATCTAGAGGTGTTTTTTATCATTAGTTTACACCTTTGATCTTTATACAGCCTTTCCTATAATATGATATTATAGAAGAGTCATTGAATGTCAGTTACTGCAAATACACACATACCATATTATTTGATAAACTAATAATATTGATTATCACACCGGGCCACAAACACTCATTTAACGGCTGTCCACGAAAACACCGCGGGGACGCATCGAATACTACACGAATTTTATTCTTAACGATTTTGATAATGGATTCGCAGACGGTTTACGCTCAATATCGTCAAAACGACGTGTAAATACCTCGCGAGACCCAGTGAACGTCTCTGCCAGGGCGCGTATTGGTAACGGAACCGCGAAGCGACCTGATGTCAAATGCGTAGCTTCATCGCGGAATATCTGTTCTCAACACCCCTCCTCCGCAAACGTCCTCGGGCTCCTCGACATGCCAAAAGCGCTCCATTATCCTGTAGAAGACCACCTACGTAGTTGTAATATTATTAACACATAGTACTAATCAATACTTTATATTCAATGAACAGATATCAGGGTTATGCGAATGGTTGTGCAAAACATTATAGTCATAAGGAAAGTAACACAAGTATGTAATGCGAATATAAAATGTTTAATTATTACATAAATTCATATATATAAGTGCATTGTAAAGAACAGTAGATCAAACAGTCTTACAACAAGTGTATGACTAGTACTTTATCATTGTCGATGTGTGTGTGTTTATTTTAAAATATACTTAATTAATTAACAAATTGTTATTTATTTTGAGTTACCTTCACTTTCTATAAAAACTCGTTGTAAGCCTACCTGGCTTATAACATAATTGGTGGCAGCGGTGCTCTCAAACATAATATACTGTATACTATCTGCAGTAGTTATACAATAAGTATAATTGTTGAAGCGGAAGGGGCAGTATAATCAAGGCGTCATGTTGAAGTAAAAAAATTAATTGGAATTGTTTATGTCTGACGATAATCAAAGTGGCGATAGTAGTAGTACCGAATCTAGAGATAGTAATTATCAGTAGGAAGCATTATTTTAAATTTAAGTAGTAGAAATGACTATTCCCAAATTAACTTATGAATCAGGGATTAAATTTATACCAAGGTACGGGGGAGAGGAAAGCGAATTGGACAGTTTTATTAAATCTTGTGAATATGTTTTGAATAATGTCGTAGATACTCTTCAACCATTAATTCTAGAAGGGATATTGGCAAAATTATCAGGTAGGGCCGATAAAGTAACTAGATTTAAAACCATTGGTACGTTTGAGGAATTAAAAGCCATACTAACGGAGAATTATGGAATATATCAAACAGTGAGTCAGTTGCAATTAGAATTAGCAGCACGCGTACAAGCTAAGAATGATGGAATAAAAGCATATTATGAAAAGGTCGAAGGTATTTGTTTTCAATTAATAGAGGCAATTGTATTAGAGAATCCGAAAAAAACGAAAGAGACAGTGATAAACAAAATAGTGAAAAAGCAAGCATTAAATATATTTGTAGCAGGACTGAGAGAACCGTATAATATATTAGTAAAGTCTCAGAGTAAAAAATACACTAAGAGAAGCATACCAGGTAGCATTGGAAGAGGAAAAAGCGTTAGGAACATAATAGGAAATTGTTTGTAAATAGCGACAAAGGAGTAAAATCCGGTGTTAAGTGTTTTAAGTGTAATAAAATAGGACATAAGAGTTTCAAGTGTTATAGTAGGAATACAGAACAAGGAAAGAATAAAAGTTACGAGAAGATAAATAGGGAAAGTGATAAAAAGAAGTAGGAAGATCAAGCGAAAATAACGTGATATTATTGTAAGAAACCAGGACAAGTAATGGCAAACTGTTATAAAATAAAAAATAGAAATAGGTACCAAGGTAAAAATAGTAGTAACAGTAGTGGAAGTAATGCACCGGTAGTGAACTCATTAACAGTCAGTGAGTACCAAGCGTGAGTGTTAAAAATAATTGAAATGAAAAACGAATGTGTTAAGTGTGATGTTGTTAAAAAATATTGTCGGAGAATTTTTAGTGGATAGTGGTGCTGATTTAAATTTGATTAAATTTTCGAAATTGAAGGGAGAAGTGAGAATGTTAACAAGTAAGACAGTACAACTAAGAGGTATAAATGCGACAGCAGTTTTAACATTAGGTAGAACAACATTAGATTTAATAGCAGGTGACGTAAAACTATCATCAGAATTCGAAATAGTATTTGATGACTTTCCGATTTATGTAGACTGTATAATGGGAAAAAAATTATTGAAGGAATATAAAATGTGCATTGACCTAAAGAGGAACGTGTTAGTAGTACCGGACAGCAAAATTAACATTCCACCACGCGCGCAAACGATAGTACCTATACGAGTGAATACGTTTTTACAAAACAAGTGTTTGGTGATTCAAAGCCAACGGATTAATGAGAACGTGATAATTGGTAGTACAATAGGCAAAGTAGAAAAAGAATATATGAAAGGAATAGTGTTAAATTATTCGGACGAGTGGCAAGAAATAAATGAATTGGAATTAAATAAATTGGAGTATGAAGAATACGAGGACTGTGAACAGGTGTTAATATGCAGCAACGAGAAAAATAGGTTCGACTTACTGTTAGACGCGTTAAGAGTAGATCATTTAAATACAGAAGAAAAATAAACTATATACAAAATGTGTTTTAAATATGCAGATTTATTTTTGTTAGAGGGGAATAAACTATCGACAACGAAATCAATTAAGCATTCAATACCAGTCCCAGACGGAATTACACCGATAAACGTAAAACCATATAGGTTACCCGGAGCGAAGCCAATTCGGCTTGGAATGCACTGTTAAAAGTTATATCTAAAAAAAGAGGGATTATCAGGAGGAAAAAAGTATAGAGTAAGTGTAGATTTTAGAAAATTAAATGAAGTAACGGTAGGCGATGTATTTCCCTTACCGCAGATAACGGAAATTTTGGACGAATTGGGGAAATGTAAGTACGTAAAGTAACCTAGATGATATAATAATATTTGCACCAGATCTAAGGAACCATAACGAAAAATTAGAAAAAAAGTTAAGTAGATTACGCGAACATAATTTAAAAATTCAACCGTCTAAATGTGAATTTTTAAGGAAGGAGGTGACATATTTGGGGCATGTTATAAGAATTATAGTTAAACATTTATTAAGAATTATAGTCAAATAGCAAAACCTTTGACGGCATTATTAAAAAAAGGATGTAGTGTTTGTATGGAGTGACATGTGTCAGAAAGCATTTAGTACCATGAAAGAAATATTAACGAGTGAACCTATACTATAGTACCCAAATTTTGTGGAAATGTTTATATTAACGTGTGATGCTTCAAGACAGGCAATTGGGTCAGTACTTTCACAAATGAGTGCTGGGAGAGATGTCCCTTGCACATGCGTCTCGAGTATTTAATAGCGCCGAACAGCGGTATAGTACTACGGAAAGAGAGTGTCTAGCAATAGTGTGGAGTGTAAAACACTTTCGCCCTTATTTATGGGGTGCTAAATTCGGGGTAGTGACTAGTGACAGATCACAAACCATTAACCTGCCTGTTTAATGTCAAAGACCCTGTTCGAGATTAATTCGTTGGAGACTAAAATTAGAGGAGTATGACTATGAGATAGTTTATAAAAAAGGAACGGAAAATCAAAATGCTGATGCATTGAGTCGAATACTAATAGCAGCTAATGAGGAGGAAATAACGTGCAATAATTTTAATCAAGCGTTATGAATAATTATGAATAAAATCATAGAAGAAGTAAAAGGGACACTATTATAAGCGGGTGAGGATTACCACATAGGGGTTACCATTAACAGGGGATTTATCTATTAGAGGTAAATTAGCTATGGATTTTTCATACATGGCAAAACAATTTAATATTCAGGAGGAGAAACAAAAGAAACATGAAATAGGGCAAATTAGAAAAATAAGTGGTTGTGAAGATAGAAAGATATTTTTTTTCATTATTGCAGAGAAATACCCATTAGTGCCAAGTTATGAACAATTATTTGAAATCTTATTAAAGGTAAAAGTATTTTGTGTGGAGTATGATATAGAAAAATTAGCAATTCCACGTATAACCTAAATTTTGAAATCGTTACGGCAATGATAAAAATGATTTTTCACGACACAGTTATAAAGATACAAATTTTTTTAGATTATACGGACTATAAACAAACGTTTCCAAGCCAGGAAAAATTACAAATTATTCAGGAATTTCATGAGAATAAATTGGGTGGACATTTAGGGATAGGCCGCACAGTTAAAATAATTAAATTAAACTTCAATTGGAAGGGGTTAAAATCGGAAGTAAAAAATATATAAAGAATTGTGAATTGTGTCAAAAAATAAAGAAAGTAATAGGAAAACTAAGCAACCGTTAATAATTACAACAACGGCTACGAGGCCGTTTGAAAAAATATTCATGGATATAGTAGGACCATTATTAAAAACGATTAATAACAAGGAGTATTTGTTAACCATTCAAGATGATTTAACCAAATTTAGTTTAGCGATACCCTTAGAAACAACGGATGCGAATACTATTTCAAAACATTTCGTAGAACAGGTGAATTGTACAAACGGGATACCGAGTTCCATACTAACCGATCAAGGGCAAAATTTTATGAGTAAATTGTTTGCTAACGTGTACAAATTACTACAGGTGAAAAAAATTCACATTACGGCGTACCACCCGGAGGGGAACGGGGCATTGGAAAGGTCACACAGGACGCTAAAGGAATATTTAAGGAGTTTTTTTTTTTTTTTTTTATTGTGACATCAACATTATGGTTCTTAGCTTAGGGTTTAAGGAGTTTTGTAAATAAAAAGTTAAACGATTTTGATGAGTTAATATCATATGCTATGTATACATATGACACGTCGATTCATACTAGCACAAACTCTACACCGTTTGAACTAATACATGGTTATCCGCCGCGAATTCCTAATTCATTTTCGAAATCGGTAGAACCGCAATACAATTATGACGACTATTCATTCATGATGAAACGATGAATGCAGGAGTGTTACGAGGTGGCACGTGACACTATAATAATAACTAAAAATAAAAGCAAAGATAATTACGATAAAACGATGAATCCATTAACTAAAGGATCATTTAAAAAAATATTACTTAAGAATAATCAAATGAAAAATAAATTAGCATCTAAATGGGAAGGCCCATATGAGGTAGTAGAGTGGCATGGCAATGAGAACATAACAATACGAAAAAACAATAAAAATGTACGTGTTCACATTAACAATGTGGAAGCATTTGATGAGTAAATATTAAATTAGAATTTTGTTTGTTATTTAGGTTAGTTTTTACAACTTCATTAATATTAGATATCATATTGGCAGACAGTACGTACAATATATCTCAAGTACCAAATACTTCAGGTTTATATTACGAGAATGAAGGAAAATTAAAATTAACAAATATAAATTGGAATATAATAACTTCGGTAAATTTAACTAATTATGATTTAAGAATAACTACGTGAAAACAATATTTTTCATTAATTGAGGTAGTATGCTGGAACGTAACAGAAGTATTAAAAAATGCTAAGTGTAATGATGTGAATACTACAATAAACTCATTACTAGAAGAAGTAGAAAAAAGGAAAAATCAATATTTTCTTATGTTAGGAACTACACCCACATCACGAAAAAAAGGGGTTGGTTCAATTTTGTTGGGGATATGTATAAACAATTATATGGTACTCTAACAGAGGAAGATGCGGATAAATTTTCTACTCAAATTTCGGAATTACATTCAAGTAATTATAAAGTATTAAGTATTATAAAAGAACAAATTTATGCAGTTAAGTCAAATGTAGAACTTTATAATAATACATTTTTCAATATAAGTAAAGAAAAAATATTATTACATGAAAATTTTGGAAAAATAGAAAATCAATTAAAAAATATGAATGAATTAATAATGGATATAGAGTTAGAACAATTAGTGGAACAACAAATAATATTATTTAATTTAATGATAAGTCAGGTATTATTTGAAGTAGATTTATTAGGAGAAATTGTAACAGCTACACAACGGGGCGTTATTCATGCTAGTGTTTTAACACCGAAAGATATTTTGGAACAATTGAAAATAATCGAAAATATATCGCCTGCTGAACCTCCCTACAAAGGTCAAAACCACGCTCTGCTACCAAAATGTAAACGCCGTTACCGATCCTACGAGTTCGGCGGTTGTCGCCAACGACTTGCGTAATGTGTTGAAAACATGAGCTGGGACGGGTTACTCAATATACAATTGCAACACAGGATGTTAGGTCGGAAACACGAATAATTTGTGTAACAAATAATTATGAATAAATAGCGGGCGCCCAAAATAATAATATCAACTTAAAACTACGTACAATATAGCTGGTGAACAATATTTTATATGTAAAACAACCCACTGACCACGTGGGACTAAATAAAAGGGTCGACCTGACTACGGCTGTTTTCTGGCTCGACGACTTCGTGGCTCGGCGATGTGGCGATGCTCCTTGCTGGTGCTGACCAATGTAGGTCCCTCGTCGGAACGGTGACGGCGGACAACTCTTCAGATCATCGCTAAACGATGATGGACTTAGCTCGTGTTTCAACGCGAGTAGCGAGAACGCGAAAACGAGTTTATAACGATGTATCTACTCCAGTGGCACACTCGTGATCACGCGGAATGTACATAGAACACGCGCAGTGCGTAGGTAGATAATTAGGGCGACAACTCGATGTTGCGCGTGGCGTCGGACGTCGAACCGTCGAATCGTCGGACAGACAAGCGTGTTCACACGTGACTTTTGTTGCTACAATTGACGGCGTAGTGTGAAACGTAAATTTGTGGTAGGTATTAACCGTGGCCGCTGATCACAGCTAGGGCCTCACAGATCACACACCTTGTGCTTACACGAGTTTTCCGGGATACGTATCACGCACACGGAGAACGCTAGAGTGGACGTTGCACCACGTTCAGCCGTTGGAAAAAGACAAGACTTTAAGTTCACGACGGCCAATGGCCAGCTCGCCGGCCGTCGCTGGCGGCGCATGACTACGGAAGGGGGCGATCGTCGGAGCTTCGACATGTTTCGCGATTTGGAGCTTCCGTGATTTTAGCGGCGAACATGTTCCGCGTTCGAACAGTGATAGAATAAAATCTAAAATTATCCCTGGTTACTAATGACATGTTTATTATGTATGTAGGTGTGAAGAACTTATGGTTTCTATCTTTTGATCTAAGTTTCCCATTACTAAAAGCTTTTAATGTATGGATATTAATACCTTCATTATATTTAGTCGTAATTCATACGGATGGTATAATAATTATCATAAATTATATTGACTACACAATTTATTTATCACTAATCTATTTAAAAGTAATTATATTTTCAAGTTTATTAGATAATTGATAATTAGATATTATATTTAACCTAATATAAAATTAATATAATATAATAACATAATCATATTAATATCATATACGATAATGCTAATTAGGTATTATATATTTTAATTACATAATTTTCATTTTTATTACCATATGCAATATTGATAATTATATATTATATTTTTATAATACAATAATAGTATGTTCAGAGGATTAGTCATACACAAAAAGTGGAGCGGGCGGTA